AAGGAGTCCAATGGAGGCGTTTCAGGCAGGGGGGGAAACTCCCTCTGGAGGGAACTTTGGGATTTTATCCTTTGCAGACCATCATGCAAAAAAACATATGAAACACTACAGGAAAGTGAAACTCAATTCCACGTTGATCCAGTGAAGTTAAGTAATCTCCCTCTAGATAAAAAACAGAACAGAAGCCATCATAATACCTAATCTGTTTCATAAATGAATGCGAGAGAAATGCAGTAAAAACAATTTAAACTTTCCACTTTTGATTTTGTCTTTTTAAGAAACCTCTAACTTGAATCACACCAAATACAAATCAGTAAACCAGCACCAAAAAAAACTGCCCATTTACTATGACAATGTTTAATCTGACCAAGGATTTGTATCGCAGGCTGGCTGTTTGAAAGATTTCTCCTCATCTCCGGTGTCCCTTCTGCTTCTTGTTTCTTGCCGGAGTCCGGATCGGCTGACTGGCCCCTCCGTTTTCCAGTGAGGCACGACCTGAAGCTGCTGGAGGCGAGGTGGGGGGGAAAACATCCGGCTCTCTGTCCATGCTGGTCTTGAAAGGTCCTGCTGAGGAAAATTTCATAGGACTGAAAGAAACAGAAAAGAAAAAGACAGAGAAGTAAGAAAGATAAGTTGTTCAAAAAGAAAAGGTATCATCTTTATGACAACAAAAATACAATTTTGATGTGTGTGTGTGTGTATGTATGTATGTATGTATGTATGTATGTATGTATGTATGTACATTGTGTGTGTGTGTGTGTGTGTGTGTGTGTGTGTGTGTGTGTGTGTGTGTGTGTGTGTGTGTGTGTGTGTGTGTGTGTGTGTGTGTGTGTTACCTGATGGGTGTGCGTGAGCTGCTGTTGTGTCTTTGTACAGGGGGCGTTCGGGGTTCAAATGAGAAGCCTTCTTTTAGACTCTCTAGGACAGATGGAGCCACGTAGGTGAAACCCTGTTGGGAAAGGATCATTGATATTAGATGGATATCATCGTCACTCATTGAATGAATCCCAATAAGATCTAATATAGGTGTTTCCCATCCGTCATCAGCACAGGCTCTATTTATAGCGGAGCTGCTAGGAGACCTTCGATAGCTCAGTTGGTAGAGCGGAGGACTGTAGTGGCTAATGCTGAAATCCTTAGGTCGCTGGTTCAATTACGGCTCGAAGGAGGTGCTGTTTTAATTCAATCCTATATTATCACTATTGGTTTGATTTCCAACTTGAATCTCAGCTTTGTTGAAAGGTAGCCGCTTTTAGCTTAGCATTGTTGATTTGTAGTCACGTGACTGAGAAGTAGTTTGTTAACAGCCTAATGTTAGCTTTTTACCTCTGCCAATAGCATTTACAATTCAAAAATCATAAAGTGGTGATAATATGTGGAGATTATCCCACTGAACAAAATGTCTAAGAATCATAAATGTGTGTTTGCCGCAACTCTTATTTTTTGCAATATTCTAAAATCCCATTGCTTTTTTGTCTACTAAATACAACATGACTGCACTACTCATGTGCAGCACCTGTCTGTTTTTGAAGCTACATCTATGAATTTGTATTGATACCACATTGCATCCATGTTTTCTGTTGCTGAGCCCTCACTTGTATGTTTACTGTTCTTCTACAACACATTTCCTGCTCTGCTTATCTCTCAGAAGCAAGTGAGATAAAACCTCACACTTCTTCCACACTGGTGCAGACTCACACATAAATACGCACATGAGACCCCATTTACACGCATACGAAAAGCAAACAAACCGAATACGATATAAAAAAAAGTATTCCGTTCACACGAGACCGCTTAGGAGCGCTGGAGACGCTGTAGTACATATGCCGGGCCTGTAAGTAGCGCTGTACTTTCACCACAAAATACACCAAAAGCAGCGAAGAAGACCCCCGAGCATGGTTGCCATGGTTGCCCTTCTGTTTATGCCCCGCGGTGGATTTAGCAACAAATAATCGTATAGGGCGTACACACGAAGCCATTTGCCCCCCCAGAGCGTTCCGGTTGCAGATCTATCCACCTTGGGACACGTTATCGTTTGCGGGGTCCGTTTCCGCGTTTCCGTTACGGCCTCGTGTGAACGAACGGGCTATACGAAAGAGAAAAGTAGCAGATATAACCGTTTGCGTTCTCGTGTAAACAGCACATTAGTGAGTCATTCACTCCTGCATCGTCATGTGTTACTGAGTGGGGTTAAGTGAAAGCAGCTTAGTTAACAGAAAGCCTGTTAAAGCTAAACCAACGACAGGAAACAACAGATCATCGTCCTGCTGCCCATCACACTGTTAGTGTTAGGGACTGTGTTTCGATACACATGCAGATATTCCCATTTATCCCCTTCGATAGCTCAGTTGGTAGAGCGGAGGACTGTAGTGGTCAATGCTGATATCCTTAGGTCGCTGTTTCAAATCCGGCTCGAAGGAGGTACTATTTTTAAAAGAAACTGTCTTTTATGTATATTATTAACATTATTTTCTATTTGTTTGATTTCCTTCTTGAATCACAGCTCCTCTATTTCTTACAGTTACATTGTTTTTTTGTATTTGCAGATAACACAATCTTTAAATTACCAGAAATGTTTTACTTGACCAACATTTTATACAACTCTGTTGAAACAGTATCTGTGTGTGACAGGTGGGTTTGTCTCTTGTAGGTGTGGGAGCCAAAATGATTATTAAGCTGTCGTCTATTATTATCATAATCATTATTGGTTTACTTTTGTAATTGGTTATCACTTCTGCTTAATGTCACATGGGTGTGGTTTATTGTATTTAATGCACCTGTCATATGTCGGGTTTTGTGGAAAGACAGGGTGAGCTGGGTTCAGACATATCCTGGAGCCCGTTTGGTCCCGCTTTAGTTATTGTTTTTTTAATCATTGTATTATTAATCACCTTTTAACTTCAGTACTGACTGCTTATTAGACACGAGTCACAGTGAAGAGCCAAGTTTAGCCTCTCAGTGAGATAATTTATAGGGCATTGTGTAGCAACAGTAGGTAAAGGGGTGAGGAGGAGGAGGAGGAGGAGGAGGATGATGATGATGATGACGACGACGATTGTGACGATGATGATGATTCAGATAATCTCCAGCAATTGGCTGTCTGTGGATTAGCTCTCATAAATACACCGACAGTTCTGCGTAGATTTACCCTGAGAAGGAGGCAATACAGAGGGAGAGAGGACGAAAACACTCTTATTGTGTCTTTAGGTGTCATCAATCTTTTTTCCTTTTTGAAAATGTTAAATGATTAAGCTCATTTGAATTGATTGTCGTTATTTATGGTTGCAACCATTTTGTGCTAAAATGACAGTCATCCATTTTTCGAAGTGAGTATCTGTCTGCTACAGTGTAGGGTAACCTCCAACTATGTTTTGTCTTTTAATGTATGATCTGACTTTGAAATACTCAGCAGTTTGTGTCTTCTCTTGCAGTGTGCCCACCGTCCCAGTGAAGAACCTCAATGGATCCAGCCCGGTCCACCCTGCACTGGCCGGTAAATCTCAAACACACACTATACTCGGGCTGCTTCAGATTTACAAAGAGTCAAAGATATTTGTCTTGTTTTTTTTGTTCTAACCACACTCATGTTCTCTTTGCTGTGTCTCAGGGATCACAGGTATCCTGATGAGTGCTGCCGCTCTGCCTGTGTGTCTGACCAGACCCCCAAAACTGGTGCTGCACCCCCCACCTGTCAGCAAGAGCGACATCAAACCCGTGCCAGGCTTCGGCCACTGCTGCAGAAAGACCACCAAGAAGCAAGCTCGCAAGGGTAAGCAAAAGCAGTTACTGAAATTCTACATAAACATAGTTAAACCTCCCTAAATGCATCAGCTTGTATATATTGTGAGAGTTTGAGAAATGATTCACCAACAGGTTAACATGTTAACCATCTGGACCTTTTTTTGACTGTAAGCCTCTTTTCTTCCTGTGTGCAGGTAAAACTCCAGAGGAGGTGGTAAAGAAGTACCTGCAGAAAGTAAAAAGTCCACCAGAGGAGGTTTGAACAGTATTTATTAGAATGCATAGTTAATTGAAACTTTAGCAAAATATCAATATCTGCTAATGCAATATTCGAATAGCAGGACGTACAACTTTGTTAAAGGCTACATATGTTTCAAAATACCATTTTAAATGAATTTTTGTGGAGATGTCCTGGCCTGCAAAATCGTGTTCTACAGACAAAATATATTTTTTAGGTACAGAGCTACGGTGACTGACAGGTGCAAACGTGTTACGACGACCTAAAACATTTCCATTAGGGGAAACGCGCTGTAGCTACAGAAACAATTCAAATATAAAAACACAAATGAGCCAAAAAACAAGCAAAACATCTTCACCATGTTGACAACACATGCTCAGTGTTTACTAAAAGTGCTGACATCAACAAGCGCTCCGGTCCTAGCTTTGTCAGATAGTTTCCCTGTTTCTGTTGTGTTACAAGCTTTTTGCTGCTTTTTTATTTGCAGCGTTTAGTATTTGCAGCGTTTTGTTTATGTGGCGCTTTTGATAAACACTGTTCATGTTTCGTCAAGTTGGTGAATGTTTTCTAAATTCTGTGCTTGTGTTGTCAAGTTGGTGAAGATGTTTATTCATTTCCATGTGTTTGGTACATTTGCAATGTTTCTAAAAGAGTTTCTACTAATGGAATGTATTTGGCCGTTGTAATGTATTAGCATCTGTCGGCCACCGTACAGATCCTCTTTGAGGAAATCCCACCACTCCCTCTCTGTTTTCTTAGTTTTTCTCCTTTTTTTATACTGTCGTTTACATTATTTGTATCTGTATACATATATATATATATATATATGTACTATGAGGGCAACTAGTAAACAATAAAAATTTGGTCACAAAAGAAAATCCCACCATTTAATATATTTTTATATAATGAAAATAGTGATTGAAAAATTATCAACCCCTCCGATATCATGAATCACATAGCAGTTGCAATATTGGCCTTAGTTGTTTTTTTCAAATGATGCAGCCCTAGTTTTTGTGTATCTCATAACAAGCATAATGTTGGTTTCTTATTAAACAGTATACTTTTCTTTTTGCCGCTGCTTTTGATTGAATGAAAAAACTATTCATATCTTACACCACACAATAGGCTTTTTTATTCTATTTAAACCCGGCTAATTCTATTTTAGCTATTTTAATTGAATTTTCTTGGCTTTTTATTGACTGTTTGAAATGTTTTATAAAGTATTTTTATAACTTGTTTCTGTTGCACTATGCTTTTGACGTTTTTTATATTTGTAAAGCACTTTGAATTGCAGTATATAGAAAGCGTGCCTTGCCTAAAAAAAAAGGGTCTTCTTTCTCTTCTCTCCTAGGACTGTACCATCTGTATGGAGCCGCTGGGGGGTCCGTCTGGTTATAAGGGCCCAGGGGTGACCCCTGTGTCTCGGGCGGAGTCAGTCGGGCGGTTAGCACAGTGTGGACACCAGTACCATTTCCAGTGTTTGGTGGCCATGTATAATAACGGCAACAAGGACGGCAGGTAGGTTACAGAATATTCCTCCTCATTGTCTCTCAAACTGCTTTGCAAATGGGCTCATCAATTCGCTCCTCTCTTGACAGCCTTCAGTGTCCCACCTGTAAAACCATCTACGGCGTGAAGACAGGCAACCAACCAGCGGGAAAGATGGAGTACCACGTCATCCCTCACTCCCTGCCGGGGCATCCTGACTGCAAAAGCATCCGCATCATCTACAACATACCGCCAGGCCTTCAGGTACTCACAGATGTATTGCTCTTACTCCCACGTCAGGTGGTTCAGTTAGTTTGATCAGCCTGCTAACATCAATCCTCTCCTCCCAGGGACCAGAGCATCCGAACCCAACGAAGCCCTTCACTGCCAGAGGCTTCCCCCGACACTGCTACCTCCCCGACAGCGAGAAAGGACGCAAGGTGAGCACAATACACCGTCAAACTATTTGAATCCATTCTTTACACACCTCTATTTGATGCCGTTGTCCATGGTAGACCACCACACAGTACAGACTTTAACACCTCTGTTGTGGAAAATACGCTCTTTTTGACTTATGATTTGTTATAACTGACTGCTACTTGTCTACCTCAGACTTCCACACCATTTCTAAAGAGATAATCAATGTTTGTGCAATATTCATTTGTTATTCATTTTACAATTTATTTGTGTTATTACTGGCTGTTACTTCAGTACTTTCACATGTTCAATTACTTTCTTTATAATGCTGCAACTTATTTCTTACCATTTGATGATTTAATCTTAATAACGTCCTCTTTATTTAATATTTTAGTCTTCTAACTTTATTTTTGCCTTTGTATCTGCCCTTTTGCTGTAAGAATGTACTTTTTCCCACTGTAGAAATGCTTTAAAGAGGCCCTTTTACGAGGTTTTCCCATCCCTGTAGTGTGTTATGTAGTATGAGAACACCAGTGCATGAAAACAGTTACCAGACCAGAATCATTTGTACAGTAGAGGCACAAAGTACAAATGCAAACCTGAAAGAAGCATATAGGGCCCCTTTAAAACGTGTTTTCCTTACCTGTACCCGAACCTTTGTTCAGGTACTGAAGCTGCTCCTGGTAGCGTGGGACCGCAGGTTGATCTTCTCCATTGGAACTTCAAGCACCACCGGAGAGTCTGACACCGTCATCTGGAACGAGGTATTAAAACAATATTACAATTTATTTGAAAGGCCGAAGTTTGTGATGTACGTACCTTGTTTCTTGTTTTTATGTCACTGGGAAAAAGAAAATATGACTTTGCCCTCTCTTCCAGGTCCACCATAAGACAGAGTTTGGCTCCAACCTGACGGGCCACGGCTTCCCGGACCCCGGACACCTGAACAACGTCCTGGAAGAGCTGCGAGCTCAGGGCATCACAGAGGACGATGGACTGATGGAGAAGTGAGAGGACCATGAAACATGTGAGAGCAGCGAAGAGAGGACGGAGAGATACAAACCATGAAAATAAAAGAAGCAGGAGGAGGACTGAGACACTCTCCCTGCCAGCACTTAACAGGCTGCAGGGGACGTTTGAGGTTATAGAAGACATAGCTTTTTTTTGTGGAGGGAACCACTTTTCAAGACGGTGATTGAGTCTGGGTTCGCTTATCGGTACAAGTCTGTCTACACTTAGGACACAAACAAGTTACATTTACTGAGGGAAAGCAAAACCAGGAAAAGAAAGTAAAAAGAGAGCGCAGTTTTGATGAAAACTGTTGGGAGAGAACGGACAAAGGAAGAAGTTAGAGCAGCGGGGGAGGGGACAGGAGGAGGGAAAGATGAAGCAGAAAGACACGAAGATGATGTAAGAATGTAGCGTAGGGTAGGAGTAGTGTAAAATCAACTTGTATGGTACTTAGCTAGGCTATCATTAAGAGGTAACAGAGCGGTGGACGAGGAGGAAAGACAGATGGTGCTCGCTTTTGTTCACACCACCTGCCTGTCAGTGGCTCAGTGCTGCTGCTCCCCCCTGTGGCGGTGCTGAGAAACTACAACTGCAAGATAAAACTGTTACTATGAGTTATCCACCTGTTACGTTTGATCATTGTTACCTATAATCCTCATTTAACGTCATTCCATACTTTACCTCCTACGTTGACTTGATGGGTTTTTATATGTGTTTATGATTGCGTGTGAAATGACAAAAGACCAAACGCAGGCCCGGTCTGTTTGGAGTCTTACTCATCGAGCCCTTGTGGTAAAAGTTAACCGTACATACACAGGTACCAGTATTTACTTATGTATCTTTATTTCTGTCCCTTGTGACGGTGCACAGTGGATGTAAATGCTGTGAGAAAAGCTGAGGATGTGAATAACAACCTGAAGATAAAACCAATTTGAGCTTTGACAAAAATGATGAAGATTTTTGATTAGATCTAGTTCACCTATCTTCTCAAAAATAAAGCAATCTTTGGCTTGTTCACAGCCAGGAAATCCTCAGATTGGGCAGGTGGGGTGGAGAAGATGGAGAGGTAGACCTGAAGTCATGACTTACAGAGGGGGGGAAAACTATTGGCTGACGAGTGCAAACGCGCTACAAGATGCAAAAACAGTTCCATTAGGAGAAACACTGCAGCTTCAGATAAATGACAAACGTGTCAAAATCCATTCAAATTTAGAAACAAATGTACCAACTTGACAACACATACCAAGTATTTAAGAAAACATTCACCGTGTTTGCCATAATATCAGAAGGAATCATGCGATCGAATTGTTAAAATAAGACGATAAAGCTTACTGTACATTTTAGGAAACGTTCCAACAACAGACAGTACAGAAGCGCACGGTCCCGGTGTGCATCCCTTTTTATGGCGCATTCACACTGCAGCGCGGAGCTCGCTTTAAGCGAGCCGGGCCTAATAAGGCCTAACCAAACCGAGCGAGGCCTGCAGTGTAAATGCGCCATTAGTGTACTCTGATTACGTTGTGTTTTGAGCTTCTTGCAGCGTTATTTATTTGCAGCGCTTTGCTAATGCAGCGCTTTCAGTAAACGCTGCCCTTGTTTCGGCAAGTTGGTGAATGTTTTTTTTTATGCACATGTGTTGTCAGGTCATTCTTTATCTGCATGGGTTTTTGCACATTTGTGTTATTTGATTTATTTATGAAACTGCGGAGCGTTTCCCTTAATGAAAATGTGTTGGGCCACTGGAGCGGGTTTTCACCTGTCGGCCACCGTAACACTGGGCTTATAAACGCCAATCAATCACATAAATCCTTATGAATGAAGATCAACTAGGCATCTATTAAATATCCAGTATTCATTTAAATGTGAATTCCCCAGTTAGGTATCATCAATAGTTAATGACTGTAGATGTGTAATTACAATTGCCCAAAACTATTTAACACCAACAGCAGGAAACTTCCCAAATGGGCTTGCTTCTGATTGGCTGGCATCCCAAAAAGTAAAAAAATAAGCTAATTGTAAGCAATACAGAGTATGGGATGTTTAATATGTGACTTGTTGGCTGCAGTTCGAGATCAGAATAATATATTTTAAATTAAAAAAAAAAAGTAAAAGAATCATCTTCTTACCTCAACCCTTCCTGACTGATGTCACACGGCCCAGTCTTTGAGTTGGGTCTATAAAGGACCCCTTATCACAATGTTACAAGAAATGTGTGTGTGAGTGTGAAAGATAACCTGTGTACTGTGTATACTACCCACATGCTCCCAGTTTAGGGTGTTATTTTGGTACTCCGTCATTCATTATCTCAGATGATGATGGTTCCCCCTTCCTTCTTTGTTAGGTAATTTTATTTTTGAAAAGTAGGTACACTTGTTTTACATTTTCCTTGCCACTATTATAGATTAAATTGCCTTTTTTATATTGTATGTTCATGTCATATTAATTATGCCCTTTTTTTATTTGTTACAATTGGTTTACAGAGACGGTATTGTTAAATACGATGTTTTTTTTGTCATTGTGTACAGAAATTAAGCTGATCTGTGTCATCTTTTCCTTGGAAAAGGAATGTGATGGTAGACTTTTATTTGAGTGTGAAATGTAATGAATTGTAGGAGCAAGTCAAACCCATACACATGTGCTCTTCTGTGAGGTAAAGAATGCTTTTATTTTTTACATATCATCTGTCTTGTTAACTTTATCTGCTCTGAGCTTTAGTAGCAGATGTGTTGATGGACACATTGGTGTTAGTCTTAAATTCACCACTCTTTAAGCTGCAGAATGGTACAAGTGGTAAAAGATGATTATTTTAAACATTGTAAAATACAATAAAATCGAAATTTCCTCCTGAGCTGTTGCAGTTGTCTTGCTTTGTTGGCCCAAACACTGCACATTGACTTGTAAAAACATTTGTATAATCAGTAAGTAACTCCATTGTTGAATTGTAATTGTAATTTTGTAGTTAAAAATAAAGTTATTCATTTCTAAACAATAAAGAAATAATTACAAAAAAAATCTTTATTACTATTTCACTTGACGTAATGAATTGAGTCTGATTTGGCCATGATTTGGTCATGTCCCTGACATTGTGTGCAATGTCTAAAACCACGCTAGCAATGTAGCTAACAGATAACTCACCATTGTAGTTTAACCTTT